TTGCATGCTAGACCATGCCGCTATCCCTCTCTAAGGCTAGTTGCTAACTGGACACCATTTTCTGGAGATCCGTCGACTACTTAGTAGGCCAGAGTCTCGTTCGTTATCGGAATTAACCAGACAAATCGCTCCACCAACTAAGAACGGCCATGCACCACCACCCACCGAATCGAGAAAGAGCTCTCAATCTGTCAATCCTTCCGGTGTCTGGGCCTGGTGAGGTTTCCCGTGTTGAGTCAAATTAAGCCGCAGGCTCCACTCCTGGTGGTGCCCTTCCGTCAATTCCTTTAAGCTTCAGCTTTGCAACCATACTTCCCCCGGAACCCAAAGACTTTGGTTTCCCGGAAGCTGCCCGCCGGGTCATGGGAATAACGCCGGCGGATCGCTAGTTGGCATCGTTTATGGTTAGAACTAGGGCGGTATCTGATCGCCTTCGAACCTCTAACTTTCGTTCTTGATTAATGAAAACATCCTTGGCAATGCCAAGAGTAGTTCGCCTTGGCGACGTCCAAGAATTTCACCTTCTAGCTGCCGCGAATACTTAATGCCTCCGCCTTCGTTCCGATTAGTCATTACTCCTCTGGTTCCGAAAACCAACAAAATAGAACCGAGGTCCTATTCCATTATTCCATGCATCACCATTCGGGCCATATTCAAATAGCCTGCTCTGAGCACTCTAATTTTTTTCAGTAAACTCTTCGCCACTGACACCACAAAGAGCATCTCAGGCGAAATAAGGGGCGGTTGTTCGAGCGTGACAGTAAACACCGGGCGGTGCACCGTCAGTCCGAACTGAGATCCAACTACCAGCTTTAACCGCAACAACGTAATATACGCCATTGGAGTTGGAATTACCGCCAAGATGCTGGCACCAGACTTGTCCTCCCAATGGATACTAAGTAAAGGATTTAAAGTGTGTTTGGTCTGATTGGCGAGGCCTCGGATGAGACTCGCATCGTTATTTTTCGTCACTACCTCCCCGTGCCGGGAGTGGGTAATTTGCATGCCTGCTGCCTTCCTTAGATGTGGTAGCCATTTCTCAGGCTCCCTCTCCGGAATCGAACCCTGATTCTCCGTTACCCGTTATAGCCATTGTAGGCGCATAACCTACAATCGAAAGCTGATAAGGCAGACACTTGAAAGAAGCGGCGCCGGTGCGGAGACAGTGCGCTCAGCCCGAAGTTATTCAGATTCACCACAGGTGGGTTACGGACCGGGGCCCGACCAGTTTTGAACTAATAAAAGCGCTTTTCCCTTGCGGTCAGAGACCAATTGCATGTATTAGCTCTAGAATTGCCACAGTTATCCAAGTAAGTGGGTTTACAGATCCAATGAAACATAGCTGATTTAATGAGCCATTCGCGGTTTCGCCTTAAATCGGCTTGTACTTACACATGCATGGTTTAATCTTTGAGACAAGCATATGACTACTGGCAGGATCAACCAGGTAGCTGCTGCTGTTGGCGGCGCCTATCACGGCGGCCAAAATAGTGAGATTGAGAGAGAGGCAGAAGACATTGGGCGAGGGACCGCACGTTGGCCTTAGAGAAATAGCAAACCAGATGATCAGATCTAACTGCACCTTCTCTTGCTATCCTCGGCGCCGGCAGCGCCACCGTGTGTGCCAATCTCCTCCCTTATCCGCTCCTCTTTGCCCCAGCTCCAGCGAGGCAGCCGACATTGGGCGAGGGACCGCACGTTGGCGAATCTCCTCCTTATCCGCTCCTCTTCTCTTTGCCCCAGCGAGGCAGAAGACATTGGGCGAGGGACCGCACGTTGGCCTTAGAGAAATAGCAAACCAGATGATCAGATCAAACTGCACCTTCTCTCGCTATCCTCGGCGCCGGCAGCGCCACCGTGTGTGCCAATCTCCTCCCTTATCCTCTCCTCTTCTCTTTGCCCCAGCGAGGCAGCCGACATTGGGCGAGGGACCGCACGTTGGCCTTAGAGAAATAGCAAACCAGATGATCAGATCAAACTGCACCTTCTCTCGCTATCCTCGGCGCCGGCAGCGCCACCGTGTGTGCCAATCTCCTCCCTTATCCGCTCCTCTCCTCTTTACCCAGCTCCAGCGAGGCAGCCGACATTGGGCGAGGGACCGCACGTTGGCCAATCTCCTCCCTTATCCGCTCCTCTTCTCTTCTCTTTGCCCCAGCGAGGCATAAGACATTGGGCGAGGGACCGCACATTGGCCCATCTCCTCCTCTCTCTCTTTCTCTTACTGTTTGTGGGGACGTGGGCTCATGAGCGCCATCGCCGCCCAATATTGGTTAGGTTGTGTATTTCACGGGTGGGAACCGCCATCATCGTTGTTAGGTGATGGGGTAACCCAACGTGTGCTTTGACGAGTTTTGGCTGCTAAACTCTCTTTTTAGTATACTCGGCTCCCAGACTGCGCCCTGTTCGTGTTGAACCATGAGCGTTGTCTATGCACATTTAGGGTAGCCGTTTGCGGGTGGAATAGTGCAATGAATCTCGGTCAAGAGACGGTTGGGCGCTG